ATCACTGACTGTATATAAAGACCATCACTGACTGTATATAAAGACTTCATTGTTTTTCAGGATGACCTGATGAATCTACGTCAGAGTTTTCGGACCAAATTGAGGGAAACTTTCAGTTCAGAGCTTCGTCCCACAAACAGAGAGAAGTTGGATTCAAACCAACGTCATCCAGAGAGCCGTGCCACCAGTGAGTCGCTGCTGAAGAAGACGAGGAAGAGGCTGAGGGAGTTTCTGGACCTGAGGGGATGCCCAGGACCCAAGAGGACAAAGACAGACAAGGTGGACGTTTAACACAGAAGAAGTCCAAACAAATGTTACTGATATTTAACCTAAATAAAAGAACAATCTCCACAATTGTGGGAACTGAAGTTCATCTGTGTGAAAACTGTTTCTCCTTCCTCCCATGGAGCTGCAGACTCTCAGTTCTAAGAGTTCATTTATTGAGTATTGATTTCATAGTAAGTGTTATTGATACTTTGAATCATTATGGTCGTTAATTTTTGTTAATGTTCGTTACTTCAGTCTGAGTGTTTTCTGACTGGCTCTAATAAAGACTGTAAGTGAACAGATGCATCACTCTCTAACCCACCTGAGATACAATCAGCTGACGGTTCCACACAGTAAACAATCAATCACCAATAATCAATATTTCAGTCAGTTGATCTTCATGAATGTTAAAGTAAAATGTTCTGAAGCTGCGTTCAAAGACCCTGAGATGTTGATTCAGCCACTGATCATATCTAAACAGATCAAGAACTTCAGTTTCTGATGATTCAGGTTTGACCAGTTGATTCTCATCAATGAAAAACGAATCGATCGACTGAGATACAGGTTAAAACAAATTAGCTGAACTGTCGTCACATGAAAATTGCTTTTCTTTTACCTCAGTTCACGTCACAATGAAAAATGTTTACATCTCGGCCTCAAAATGAACATCTCCACTGTAGTCACTAAGTAATAAAGTAACTCAATGATTAAGTAAGGAAGTAACTGAAGTGATCAGCTGACTTCTTAAATCAAAGTCATGTGACAACAAAGCTCTTGGTTAAAAAAAACAATGGATTAATCAGGAAAAGAATAATGACAATCATCAACATTATATTTCTGAAGAAAGACTTTTATCAAACACATTTAAGTTGAGTCCAGGAAAATTTATTTCAAACATTGAAACAGGACGAAAACCAATTTCACAGATTCACTTTTTGTCTGAAAACGGAGAAAAAACGCTTTGATATTATAAATTGATATTATTGTTATTAATAATATAATATATATTTTATTACTATGGAAACTGGATATAGTGATCAACTATTCATACAGATCAAAAAGCCTTAGCCACAATCGCTCCTGTACAAATGCTGTTTAAGTAATTTGGTTGTAGTGATCAGATTATCTGCTTACTTTAGGTCTTTTCATGTTTGGACGTCAAATATTTTTTATAGTTCTTAGTGTCTCTGTCAGTTATTTACTGCTCCTCTCTGTGTCTCCATCATTCATCACTGAACCAACTCCTCTACATACATTCACTACGTTTACTGACTGCTGTGTTGACCCCCCACACACGTGTGCGATTGTGTGTGTGTGTGTATCGCGAGTACGCAATGTTCCCTAGCCCTCCAGTTCTGGGGCTATCATGCAATTCATTTATGGTAATCACTTTGGCCCGTGACAAACATGATCACGAGAAGCAGTTTCCAGTGTATTATTATTATCAATATTATTATTAACAATAATAATAATAACAAACATTCACACAGTCGTAACTCTCCACTGATGATGTCACAGATACAAATTTTTACTTCAGGAATCCAGGTTCAATCATCAATCATCGACATCATCAGTGGAAAGTGAGCCGATGACTTCACTGAAGTGTCTGGAGGACAAAACATCTCAGAAAACTGAGTTATTCAGTTTGAAGGTTTAAGAGAAAAAATGTCATGGACTTCATCCAAGCTGTGGCTGAACATTCTGGTAAAAACAAAAACGTCTTCTTCTAGACGTGTCGGAAAAGTCAGAATCATCTACTGTCGCACGGAGATCCGTCTCTCAGGTCAAAATGGTCACGTACAGACTCATTTAAAGATGTGAGGTCAAATATATACGAAGCAGAAACTAAAATTGTGAACAATTTCTTTTGACTAATTTCAGTCAGAGATTCGCTGTTTGCTTTCTTTTTTGTTTCTGAGCGATTTAAGCAAATTTTCCAATGGCTCTGTCGGAGAATGTGAACGCACAAACCAGCACCAGCTCGGGGAGGAAGCTCTCATCATCGGGGATGGGAGGCTGTGATTGGTCATAGGTTGGCAGCAGTGACAGCTGGTGAGGGAGGGCAGGGTCACACCTCAGTTGGCTGTTGCTATGGCGGTGTCGCTGGGGGAGTTGGGACTCAGGTACTCGAAGGCCTTCTGGCTCTGAGAGACAAACTGTTTGAGCGGTGTGAGGAGCAGCTCGGTGGCCGATGGTCGGCGGACGATGCTGCCATCGGAAGGGACATGTGGGTCTTCCACCTCCAGGGCTGCGGGATCCTTTAGGCTGGAGCGCCGACCATTGGGGGGGTCGGGGCTCTGAGGGCCCCCGGAGCCTCGGGCGCGGGAGTAGAGACTCCGGCGGCGACGAGGACGGCCATCCATCGCCTTAAGGAACAGGCTGTTAGCTGAACTGCGACGAGATGAGCTGTCAAAGGAAAAGTCCTCCTGGTTGAGAAAGTCCTCGACCTCCTGATCTGTTGGCTGCTGCAACTAAAGATTAACAAAATAGACACGTTTCACATACAGTACCTCCAGAACATGTGAGGAACATCTCAGGAACATGTCTGTGGTTCAGCTTATGTGTGAAAACTGCTTTTTTTCCTCAAAAACGGGAAAACAAGCAGCAACATGAGAACAGGAAGTTTGACCAGCTTTTACAGGAAGTAATGAAACTGTTTTTCCTTTGAAAGGAGACTTAATATACAAGAAGATCTTTCCACCAAGTTCATCTGTTAAAAATAAATAGATGGTTTGAACTGATTTTTGCAGAGACCAGTTTGACGACACTGAGACGCTCGTTGTTGAGTTACCTTCTTCAGTCGTGGTGTGAGAAGTGTTTAAGGTGCTGCTCAAGTGTCCGGACTCACCATGTTGTAGAGCGGCGTGGCATTGATCACCAGCTGCAGGAGGAGCTTGGACAGTTCCTGCAGGTCTCTAAGCAGCTGCTGGATCTGCTGTGGCAGCTCTCGGACCTGACGCACCGGACTCAGCTCCACCAACATGGCCGCCTGACTTTTGATCTCGTTCATGGTCAGCTCTCTGAGATTCTCTGCTCGGTACACCAGCGCCACCAGGAGGCTCTGCAGGTGATGCAGCAGCTCGCCAACCAGCTCCAGGACCCGGCTCAGACCCACCTGCAGGGCAACAGCAGGAAACAGTTTATATGACTTCAAAGGATTTAATTACTTCCTGTTTGGTCTCTTTGTTCTTTAAAGTGAGCAGAGTCATGTGGGGGGGGTTTACAGGAACATGAAGTAAGGTCAGAGGTCAAGGTTAGTCTCAGTGAAACAAACCAAACCTCAGAGTTGTGGCAGAAGAGACATGCGATGACGACGGACAGAGGGACGCCATGTCTTAAAGACATCAAGGCCTGGATGACCCAGAATTTCTTATTGTTAAACACAGACAAAAGTGAGGTCATAATCCTGGGTCCTAGGCATCTCAGAGAAACTCTGTCTAACCAGTCGGTTAACCTAGATGACATCCGTCTGGTTCTGAACTCCACTGTGAAGAACCTAGGAGTTATCATTGATGAAGATCTGTCACTTACCAAACACATTAGTCAAACCTCCAGAACAGCTTTCTCTCATCTGCGTAATATAAAGAGAATCAGACACATCCTGTCAAAACAGGATTCTGAAAAACTGATTCATGCCTTTATTACGTCGAGGCTAGACTACTGCAACTCCCAGTTATCAGGATGTCCCAGCAGATCCTTAAAAACCCTTCAGCTGGTGCAGAATGCTGCTGCACGAGCACTGACAGGAACCAGAAGACAGGATCACATTACTCCTTAGCTTCACTTAACTGGCTCCCTGTTCAACAGAGGATAGATTTCAAAATCCTCCTACTGACTTATAAGGCCCTGAACAATCAGGCCCCATCCTACATTAAAGAGCTCTTAACCCCTTACTGCCCCGCAGACCACGTCGCTCCCTGACCTCTGGACTCCTTGTAGTGCCTAGAGTTACTGAGAGTAGAATGGTAGAACGTTTAGTCACCAAGCTCCTCTCCTGTGGAACCAGCTCCCACTCTCAGTGAGGGAGGCAGACACAGTCTCTACATTTAAGGCTAGACTTAAAACCTTCCTTTCTGATAAAGCTTTTAGCTCAACCCTGAAGCATAGTCATCCATAGCTATGCTGCTATAGGCCTACACTGCTGGGGGATTACCCATCAGGCACCAGAAACCAGCACCTTCTCTCTTCTTCACTCTCTGCCTGGTTTATTTTGTTATATCTTATTACATATCTCTAACTCCTTGGGTCTTCTCCTCCCCTCCTTGGGTCTTCTCCTCCCCTCCTTGGTCCATACTGTGCGGCTCTCCGGAGCCCGTCCTGGCTCGGGTCCTGATGAGGGATGGACCTAGTGAGGTCGCCGGTCTGTCGCAGGGTTGACATGGAGGGTCACGCCACCAGCACTCTCACCTGAGGACCTCCCACCTCTGGAGCCATCGGTCCTACTACTGCGCATGTTGGACCATGAGGGAGGCCGGAGTGCCCGGGGGGACCACCGCACCCTTGGAAGACCATGCAAACGTCCACGATGAGATTCCCGGGCTGGATTCAAGCCCATGAACTGAGACTGTACTCAACCCCCCCCTTTATTTCCTTTTGTTCCCCTGTATTATTTGTTCTTTCTCCATCACCCCAACCGGTCCTGGCAGAGGCCATCCACACCGAGCCCGGTTCTGCCAGAGGTTTCTTCCATCTGGGAGTTTTTCCTCCCCACTGTTGCTCATGCCTGCTCGGTGTGGAAGTTGAATTTTGTGTTTCTTAAGATCTTAGACTTTTGTGCAGCACCCTGAGACAACTGTTTGTTGTGATACCGTGCTATATAAATACATTTGATTGATTGATTGATTGATGATGCTGATGACAGAACAAATTAGTTCAGGAACAAACACTTGTTTACCTGAACTACATTTCCCAGGTGCTTAAGTGTCAGGGTCAGAGCTGAATTAAAGTCATATGAGGAAAGAAAAAATTTCCCATTATTCTCAACATTTTGTTCTTCCACACTGAATCGAGGCTGTGAGAGACGAGCTGCCGCTAACGTTTCTCTGAAAACTTAAGATCCAGACTCCAACTACTGAAATCCCTTATCTGCTTCAAATATAGAGTTAAAAACCACCAAGATCTAAAAAGTGTATCCTAAAAATGTGAATTTGGGGATATGATGCCCCTGACCAACCAAATGAACACAGATCGTCAATGATGCAAACTCATAAAATCCTGCACTGCTTCACCATGTCACCCAATTCTGACTTTTTTCATGTGATCGAGAGACTTTTACTTCGAGAGTTTCATGTCCACACAGTGAGGAGACGGCGCTGGACCAGGGGATACGTGGACAGTGGGTCTGCAGGGGTTTAGACTAAGACAGGAAGGATGTGGACAGTTTCTCACCTTGTCAGTGGCGTCTCCCAGCGTCCTGACGGCTCTCAGCAGCTGCTCCCTGGCTTTCATCATGCGGTGGTAGAGCTGCAGACTGAGGCTGAGCAGGAGGCTCCGAACCCTCGTCCACAGACTGGGCTCATCATCCTCGTCCTCATCCTCGTACTCCTGCACCCGCATCTCCCACTCTCGACCTGACCACAACCATGATGATCAAAACAATGACCACAACATCAACAACATTAACAACCAGGAGAAAACCAAGACACAGTTTTTAAGAATGTGAAGCTGCAGAATTGATAGAAACATGACTCGGTGTCTTGTGTCACACCAAACATCACGTCACACAGAGTGACGCTGCTGTTCTCACTTATTGTGTCGTATCGATGTTGTTAGTTTTACTACACTTCTATTTTTATTATTATTGTTTACAGCAGGTGTCCAATCACATGACAGAACAGTTCGCTGCTTTCCCAGAGTGCCCCTCTACTCACGCAGTGTGGGTGGGAGGGGCAGGTAGTAGGTGGTAGCGTCCTCCAGACGACTCAGCACGTCGTCCAGTCCTGATGTGGCCGCTCGACCCACCTGAGAGTCCTGCAACTGCCGCACCGCCACCCGAGCCACATCGGCCAGACGCTCCAGCTGATCCAGAGCACCATCCAAACCGTCCACAACCCACAGCTGCACGTCGTCCAGGGTCAGGAAAAGGGCGTCCTTCAGGTGACCCACAACCTGAAGAGAGAGACAAGACGTTAGAGGTCTGTAATAAGGAGCCAGTTCAACATATCCAGGATTTCTTTAGCCAGCTAAACCTAACAATCACAGTCAGGCTAAGTGGTCACATGACGCTGGTTATTAGTTAACTCGGGTTTTTGTACTGTAGACTGCACATGAAAGGGGTTAGGGTTTACTGCATATGACCAATCACAGACATGGACAGTTTGACTGACAGCAGAGCTGAGGATCAAACTGTTGAATAATAGAAATCAAAATAAAATAAACAGCTCCAGCTGCTGAACGCAGGAAGAACATCTGGGAAAAGCCACAATGCAATAACATGTGTTTACTAACAAGACGTGTGGACGTGAAGAAGCCTCTTGATGAGAAACGTTAGAATCTCATGATGTGGCCTTGATTATGAGCTTTAGATTGACACACTGTCTCTGAGGACACACTGACTCTCTGAGGACACACACTGACTCTGAGGACACACACTGAGGACACACACTGTCTCTGAGGACACACACTGAGGACACACACTGTCTCTAAGGACACACACTGTCTCTGAGGACACACACTGACTCTGAGGACACACACTG